AGGGCTAGGGCTAGGGCTAGGGCTAGGGCTAGGGCTAGGGCTAGGGCTAGGGCTAGTGTTAGGTTCAGGGTTAGGCAGAAATCAATGTCTTGAGTTGGATTTGGTTTTGGGTTAATTTTAGTTTGAAGTGAATGCTGGGCTTTCTAGTCTTTGTCTTAAGGTTAGGTTTAAGGTAATATATAGGTATAGAGTTGGAGTTAGAATCAGGATTCTATCTTGGTGGATGGGGGTGGTAATTCCCCTTGGGGAGGGTAATCGACAGTTGGGTATTTGCACCGGGGTGTAAATACAGGGGTGGGGAAGTCCGCGGGGGGGGGGGGAGTCCGGGGAGGGAGGGAGGTAATGTCCTGTAGCCCTAATTAACAATCAAACTATTCCAAATAGCATGCTCTTTGCTGATTGAAATAAAAAGCGGGAGTGATCTCCCCTAAATTTTCTCGTTATTTCTATAACTGTCATTAAGGAAGATGTCACTTCCAGTGGAATTGGAATGTAGAGAAGTTTTTATTCTTTAAATTGTTTATTACTTAAAAAAAAGAATTTGCAAACCAAATTCTAAATGAAGGCATAAAATACTCTGTATATAAAAGAGAAAAAACAGAGGTAATCCAAAACCTTTTTACTTTCAGATATGCCGAATATGGTGGGTAGTATTTTATTGAGGCCAATAAAACTTGTATAAAACTATTATACTCATAAGTTTCTGAATGCACTGATAATAAGAAAATAAAAAAAAATCTTGCTATCTTTAATAAATTAATTTGTAGTTCCTGAGATCTTTTACATATTTTAGAAACCGAAGTGTTTATTAAAGGCAACACACTTTTGTCAGGTTTTTAAATGCTATTATAAATGATTTTATATTTGTTTCATTTTTACTTTTTAGTTATTCGTTCGAAATTAAGTAGTAGACACTACATAACTAACGTTATGTTAAAACTCGACAAGTATAACGCAATCGTTAAAACAAAGTTATCTGCCCCTTCTTTTCTCGTGGTCAAAGCTCAGGCAAAAAATATTTCAGCTTTGAAAAACAGTTCACGTCTACGGCTGATAGAGTGATCGCTAGTAATTTAATCTTGTTATCTCCCTTCACAAGCTGAATTTAGTAATTTATAAGTAACATTAAAATTTAATGACTAATCTAATGTTAAATTAAATAATTAATATTTTTACATTGTCACTGGAGACAAATATATCTGGACAGAATGAAGGTCATCGCAATATTAGAAACGGGAGAAAACAAAGTTACAAGATTTGCCTCATTCCACAAACCAACAAATAAACATTGCATTGTGAACCAAATGAACATTTCTAATAAAAATTGTTCAGAAGCGAATGTATTCAGAGATTTAGAGGGAGAGAGAGAGAGAGAGAAAGAGAGAGAGAGAGAGAGAGGATAGAGAGAGAAAGAGAGAAAGAGAGAGAGACAATACATATGCAAAAGCTTTTTAGTGTTTTTTGAGGGGAAATTCTAAGAATTAAATTAATTTCAATAATGGAGTCAAGAATGTGTAACTGTACAATGGTTAGACATATACATTTTATTACAGTAAAGATTATACAACGCGAGGCATATATGTGATAACAAAAACTGACCTGAAAGCGTCATTTCTACCACAATAAACAAATACCTCTAAAGTTAGTTGTGAAATGCCAAGTTATGGGGCGTGCAGGAGTACTGGATCTAGCACTAACTTGCCACGTGACCTGTCTGCTACTAGACCAAGTTATTCTTACAGATTGTGACCCTCAAGCTTTAACAAGCAAGCGTTTATCTAGGGCATGAAGGGAAGTTAGGAGCTAACATGTTTCGTTTTGGTTGGGTAAGGTTAGGGGGTGACCCTCCATGTACAGACCAGAGGAAGCTTACTTGCTTTGGAACAGAGAAGGGAGGTGGTAACTACATGTTCTAGATGATGGGTGGGGCTATTTGGTGATGTGATGTGTATGAAAAGTGTGTACATGGGACGGATAACTGTGTACGCCAGCATTACCGAGGCCGTGTGTGTTGACGTGTGTGCTGTTGTACGAAATGAATGGGGCTAACAAATGAAGCGACTGGTCGAGTGACAGCGGGTGTGTTTGAAAGGCTGAAAGGATTCGTGTAGGGATGAATGCGAGGACAGCTGAAAGTGACAGTTGGAGGCGACAGTTGGAGGTGAGAGATGGAGGTGACAGATATGGGTGACTGGTAGTTGTGAGGAGGATAGGATAAGGAAATATAAACCGACTTGTGTTACCAGTGGCGAAACTAGAAACAAAGGGCAACCTGCAAAAAATATTTTTGCCCCCCGCCCATATATATATATATATATAATATATATATATATATATATATATATATATATATATATATATATATATATATATATATATATATATATATAATATGCACATAGGATACTCATTTCTGACTTGATTGAGTTTTAACAAAAAAAAAAGTTTATGTTTTTTTGTCAATTAATTCAAATTACAACAACATCTCATGTGTGTGAGTGCATTAGTCTGTTTTAAAATAAAAAAAAATCTATGTCGGGCGTATTATTTCTTAACCTAGAGACGGTAAAAAAATATGAAATATCAAAGCTTTGTGTATGTAATGGTTTCTCGTGTTATGTTTATTTGTTTGTCTTTTTGTATTTATATTACTCATTTTTAATACATTTCCCTTTTATACTATGTCATTCTTTAGTATGTATTAAAAAAATTAAGAGAAGTAATTGCCTTTTAATTGTTTAATACAAATCTACTAAAAGTAGCATATGAGCACCCCTATTTGACTATTAAAAAAGGGAAATAAGTCATGGAAGTGGTTTAAACGTTTGCCTATCTTTCACAATGGTTTAAAAACAAAGGGAAAAAGAATAATTATACAAGAGGGTGGGATGGTGTCTGTAGAACAGTTACAGTATTCTTTTAACAAAACAACCATCAAGTCAAAAATGAAAGAAAATATTTTTTTTAACTAAAAAAAATGATTATGGTCGGATGTGGGCCCCTAAACGACGTCCCCCCCCCCCCTCCCGCATTGCGGGGTCTGGCGGCACTGTAGTTCTGCCCTTTTGTGTTACCCTAACTTCAAAGAGTTTTCTTGATGTGTCACTGTCATATACCTCTGAAAGGCCCGTTACGCATTCACAGGCCACATTAAGAGAGGCCCTAGGGAATTATCTTGTTAAATAAGTTTAAAGCTGTTTTATTTTTGTGAGGCTACGATTCGTCGCACAAAGTTGTTATCCAAGAAGAAAGTAATTTCATTCAATATCAGTATTTAACTTAAAAAACTGCATTCACTCAATGATGTCCTGTCATTTAGCAAGACTTGTGTTAAACCCTACTTTTGTGAGATAGACGTTAATATATATATATATATATATATATATATATATATATATATATATATATATATATATATATATATAATATGTTTAGTTTATTTGTTTAGGGATATATGCCTAGTTAATAGAAAATATGGTGTTAGCAAGCTAAGCCTAGTTATACATCCAACGATCCATTCTGCTTAAATAGCAGAAATTATTAAATTTATATCGGAAATGATACTGCAAATTACTGAAAATTTGTCATAACTTTGGCATAACTCATAAGCCTAAAACAATCGAAACTTCGTTTTAAATATGTTCACGGCCCAACGGACTAATTAAGGCATGCTATGCTAGAAACAATTCAGTCAAGTCAATGGTTTAGGTCGGAACAAGTAGAAGAAGGAGAAACAAAAGAAATAAGTGTGATCAGGGATGGAAAACAGCAAAGGGAACTAAACAAGTAAATGGAATAAAGACTGCAGTGTTGTGTTTCCTTGAATAGTTATTTCATCCGTAAAGGTTATCGGAATATAAAAAAAAACCTTCTATCGAGGCCTACATTATACTATGTTATTGTAACAGTTATTTGTTTTTGGGCAGCCTAAATAGAATTTATTAACCAACTAGGCAAGAAAATATGTCTACATTATGCATACATTAGCGAAATAAATACGTTAATATTACATATTTTATTTATATATTTATGACACATGTGTATATATATTTATGACACATGTGTATATTAATATGGTGCGCGGACCTTTGACCACAGTTGCTTTGACCATAGGCGGTTTGACCTTAGGGGGTTTGACCACAGCGGAGCTTTGACCATAGGGGGTTTGACCATAGGTGGTTTGAATTTAAAATAGAAATTATAAACTGCTATTTTACTTTAAATTTATACTACAATTAATACGATTTTCTACATGTTTCCTGAAAGACCATTAATAAAAATTAACATGTACTAAAATAGTCAAAAAAACGGTATTTTAGTCTCCTAAATGTATAGATATGCTTAGCTATATTGTACTTTAAATCAATTATTTAAAAATAATGTATGCTCTCATAAAATTACAGAATTTTTTTAATTTTATAAGCATTATAATAAAATTTCAGAATACCACATACAGAAGGGCAGATTATATTATTTTATTGAATTCTAATATTTAGGTACCAATTGTTTTTGACAAAAACAAACCTAAGAATAATTTTTAAAAAATCTTCCATACATTTTTCTATTTTGGATCCAAAAACATATAAAATAATAATACATTTTTTTACCGACGATTATAAAATTTGAACCAATATTGATATGAAGGGATTTTTAAAATTTATTTACAGAAATCGATCTAAAAATCCCAAAATTTGTTGTACATATATTTCTGATTGTTCTAAATTGTCTCGTAGTTATGATGAAAAAAAATCGTTGAACTAAAATGTTCAATATAAAATAGTGATATAAATGTACCTAAATACATACTTGCTATATAGACAATACATGGTTGTAAATAATGCAGATGATTAATAAAAAGAAAAGTAAATATGATCAAATTAAAGAGAATACACCCATAAAAAAACTTCTCATGGAATGTTGCTCAATAATACACGTAAAACCAAAAAGTTATTAGATGTCACTGAAAGTATCAGAAATTCGGTGCTAGTTCAATCTTAATTTTAGATTCTCCTAACACATCTAATTTCAAATGGTGCAGGACTGGCAGTGCCGCCTAAAACTTCTTTCATAGTAGGAAGATGATCTGGGTCAACAGGCAGGAACTCGAACCTCTGAAACATGGACGACAGGAACAAGAAAAGTTCCATCTTAGCCAGGCATTCCCCAAGACAAATTCTGCGACCCATAGAAAACGGTATGAGCTCTTCTCTCTTTATCAAATTTCCTTGCTCGTCCAGAAATCTTTCAGGTCGGGAATTCTCAGGATCTCCCCAGATTTTTTCATCTCTTAGAACAGAGTCGAGGTTGATAATTACCTGAGAATCTTTAGGAATGTTGAAACCCATGAGAACGGTATCCTGGCAACACACGTGAGGAATACAAAACGGCACTAGACTGGCCAATCTCTGAGTCTCCATGATAAAAGCGTTCAAGTATTTCAGTCTTGGTTTATCCAGCATGTTCGGTACACGTTCGGTTCCAACTTGTTCTAAAATTTCCTGATATATTTTGTCCTGTGTGACCGGATGGTGCAAGACGTACAACAAACCCCACAAAATGGTAGTACTAGTGGTCTCCGTCCCAGCAAAAATCAAGTTGTCAATACACCCAATCAGATTGTCTTCATTTAGGTACGTTTGTTGACCTAATACCTCAGCTTTCCTCATCTCCTTAATATAAGCAGCAATAAAATTATCTCCATTAGTATCGTTGTTATTATCTTTTACATTTTGGACGAACTCTTTTATTATCGATCTTATTTCAATTAGTAATGATCCAAAACTTCTAAATCCAAAAGGATCAAAGGGAATATGGCGTAAAAATGGCATCACAACTATAGCAGTTTCTCCGGATCCTTGTTCCATGTAATGATCATACAGTTCTATTAGTCTAGAAAATTTGCTATTAGTAAACTCAAATCCTTGACCAAAAACCATGGAGCAAATGACATTGGAGACACTAAGATTCGTTATGGTTTTAAGATTTGTTGGTTTTCCTTTGGTGGAGGCGAGCTGCTTAACAAAGATGGTTACCTCGTCCGCGATCTTCTCTGCTAAAATATTTTTCCCCATGCCGAATCTTCTAAGGATTGTCAAGGATGTTGTTCTTTGTTGCCTCCAGATTGGACCTGACGACAGGATGATGCCGTGCTGCATGTGGGGAAAATGCCGGAGCATGAACTCCGTTGCTGGACGGTGCGAGAACACGTCACCTTGCTTGACCAACGCTTCCTTGATGACGTCAAATGTGTTAAGTACAACTGTAGTCCAGTTTCCGATTTTGAGCTTGAAAACTGGACCCACTGTTTTTGAGTAGTGAAGAAATTGTTGTCTGGGGTTAGTTTGTCGGAGGTACAAGTGTCCGATAAACGGCAAGGCGACGGCAGGAGTTGGTGGAAGGTTGTGAGGCTTTCTGTCAGTGGTCAATAACCTGTAGAACACAATCAGGCAGGTCAGACTAAGTAGCCATGACGTAACGCCCAGTGACATCAACCAGTCCATACACATTCTGAAAAAAGAAATAAAAATAACCCAGACTTTCATTAAGATTTTTTTATGACTTGTAGACAAACTCTTTTTCATGTTTTCTTAGATATAGAAAATGATAAACAAAATCTGCGAAAAAAAAAATGTAACCACTTACGTGTTTATAAGACTCCTCTTTTTGACTCCTCTTTAGACTCGTCTTTCTGACTCCCCTTGTAACATCGCAAGTGCAGTCTTAACAACTTACTGTACTTAACCTCATTTTACCCAGCCTAGTAAAGTGCGCTCCAATCATCCCACCCCAAATGCATGTTTTACAGCAAAATACAACATAAAACCCCCTTCAGTTCCACACCAGAGTACGTGTTCATTGAATGAAAATGTCTACTTAAACAAGCCTAAGTAACTTTTTAAAATTATTGAAATATAATTTTGACACGTATGTGCATGACTGTTGCGCATCTCGTATCAATAGCGACGTGTAGCGACAAGGAGTGTAGACAGGTAAAAACAATAGTGCTGACCCTATCGTCACAAAATACCACATAATGTAAGACCCTCACACTAAAATGACATTTTTATTACATTTGACAAAAACGTGTCTTTGAAAATAGTTAATGAATTTACAAAAAAGTCAACAGTTTTAAAAATTGAAATTGCAGCGGTGTAAACTGAAAACGCATTTAAAAAAACCCTGACATCCTTCTCAGTTTGTCTTGGGGAATCCCTGGCTAAGATAAAACTTTTCTTGTTCCTGTCTTCTATGTTTCAGAGGTTCGAGTTTCTGCCTGCTAATGGAGTATCGGCTCTAGAGGTTCATGAAGTGTTTGGTGGTGCCGTATCCGCGTCTCGTTTTGAAGTGAGGTGCATTGGCAGAAGACATTAGAGATTAAAATATTTATAACTAGCGTACCCGACCCCCGCGCGTTGCCGCGGGGATAGAAGAAAGTTTGACGAAATATATTAGAAGGATTTCACCAACGCGTTACCAATCATATGTTCTTAGACGCGTGACCTTATTTTATAAAAATCAGTTATTTAAATGTAAACAATGCCTGCGTTTGGATCATAAATATCAGAACACGGGTTTACTTACACTACCGCATGAAAACCTTGAGTGTACATTAATCACTCACCGAAATAATATGGTAGAACACACTTCGGTGACCGCCCATGTGTAAGAGAAGTAGAGGACCGCTCTCAGGAGCCCCCCCCCCCCCGATTACACTACCGCATAGGCGCGGCGTACGACCCCTGGCTCCTTAAAATAGCACCCTGTTAACAATGAAGCAGATTGCGTAATTCACTAAAGTGACACAAATGAACAGGATTTGTTATTTAACTAATTTGACTGATGCAATATGTTAGCGTTAGTAATGGTCTATTCTTCGATGCTCGATCTCAATTTTCTATTTGGATTATCTAAAAATAGATGCTAATTGCATCATTCGCAAAGTGACGAAACTATTTGGATTTTTTACGGACAAAAAGAAACATCCCAGTTAATAATCTAACTTTGGTTAATGTTTCTGATTATTAAAATAAAACGTATTACATGGCCCTCCGCGGCCCATGTGAGCCTTTGGGGCCGAAACAGACATTTTTATTTGCAGCCTAATCGCACCCTACCAGGGCGCCAGAGGACACGCCTGATTCAATTTAGTAAGCTTTTGTAACGCCCCATCCTATCCATTGTCTATCACACTGTTTAGACCGAACGTATTCACCATAGCGCTCACGGGAAAGACCAGGGCGCCAAATCGCATCCTGCCGGGGGGGGGGGCATGCAAAATTAAATCCCCCGCCCCCACCACCCACATACCCCTATTCCCCCCCTCCCACACAGAAACCTTCTCGGGAGTATTGATCAACTCCCTAAAGTTTTATGGCACAGGGATAAATTGCGTCGAACCGCAATAGTCTTTTATTTTTATATACAGTATATTGAGAAAAATCCCACCATACCGTGGCGCCACCCTTTCGAATTTTAAAAATGATATTTTACAGAACCCTTCACTGGAGTGTTCTAATCAAGTCCCTAAAGTTTGATGGCTATCGGATGAACGTTGTGAGACCGCAATCGACTTTTATTTTTATATAACGTATATAGAGAAAAAAAACAAATCGAATTTGAAAATGTTTTTAGAAACCTCCCCAAGAAATAAATTCAACTTCTTCCCAAAGTTTCATGCCTATCGGATGAACGGTGTCACTGCAATTCACTTTTATTATTTTTATATACCATATATAGAGGAAAATCGCACCCTCCCGTGGCACCGCCCTTGCGAAATTAAAAATTATTTTTTTACAAAACCCTTCCTTAGAGTGTTATAATGAATTCCCCAGAGTCTCATGGCTATCGGGTGAACGATGTCAAACCAAAATTGACTTTTTATTTTTATATACCTTATATAGAGAAAAACAAATCGCGCCCTGCCGGGGCGCCACCCCTGCCAATTTGAATTTTTGTTTTTTCGCAGAAACCTCCCCAGGAATATTCTCAACAACTTCCCAAAGTTTCACGGCGATGTGATTAGAGGTGTAGTAATGCATATAGGACAAACAAACAAACAAACACACACACAAACATACATTGCTTTATATATATATATATATATATATATATATATATATATATATATATATATATATATATATATATATATATATATATATATATATAGATACAGAATAACAATTTGTGAGTAAGAACATAATTTTATGAAATGTACTTAATTATGCTCAATTTATATATATATATATATATATATATACCAAAAATATATACAAAAATAATTTTTTTAATGAATGTCGTGATAGTTTTTAATTCGCTTAAAACAGATAATTAAGGTATTCTAAAATGCATTATAACCCTTTTCATATTTGTAAACATAATTAATGTATTAGGCGATTGTTATTAGTTAACCTTTTTATAATCTGTGATTTTAAATCAGCTTTAAAACATCGTAATTTGATTTTTAACTCACTTAAATTTTTTAAATGAATATTAAAATACAATGAATAAACCTTATGCTGAACATGTCTAAGAAAAATAGATACAGCTTTTAACCCCCTAAGGTCTAGGTCGTGTTTACTATAGCATTAAGGGTCACATTTCTGGCACACACAAAAATCATATGCGCAAGCGCAATGTTGACTGTCTTGGCAGAGAAACTTAAATCAAACAATGATCTGGTATTTCTTTTTAACTTTAAGATAAAAACATGTAAATACACACGGACACACGTACACATACACTCATACATATAAATACTTCACCAACATTTACATCCACAAAGCCCATCGACTGCAAAAATTCAAGAAATTGAGTGCCTTTTTATTTATTTGTATGTATCTACGTTAGGTTTCTTAAAGGAAAATATTCGCACGTACCAGTAACTCCTCTTCACATAAGGTTACTATGATAACGGCGGCCATCTTGAAAAAATCTACCTTTAGTGGGGGTTTCAAGGTAAAAATTATCATGTATATTGATCTTATAATTATTGATTGTTCTTTTACTGACTCTAATAGAGTTACCTTCCCTTTTTGTTACAAAAAACAAAAACAAACAACAACACTAAAAATAGATTTAAATTTTCAAAATCATATATGGTAAAATACCAGTAAATTTAGCGTTAATTTTACTGAGATTTTAACGTTACTTCTCTCAGAAGTAGGGTATAAGTCTTGCTAAGTGACACGACGTTGTTTAATGTATGCATTATTTTAAGTTAATTGTACATATTGAATTAAATAAATTAATTTCTTCTTAGATAAAAACTATGTACGACGTATCAGTTCGAAGCCTTACATTAATTTAACCACGCTGTAAACTGATTTAACAAGGTAATTCCGTTAAAAAAATTGAAGACATCCGGTCTAAAACATGTAGGGTCATCCCCTAATGTAGCTCCCCCCACTCCCTGGTCTAAAACATGGAGGCCACCACCTAGTGTAGCCCCACCCCCTGTTCAAGAGCAAGTAATCTGCCCCTGGTCTAAAACATGTAATCTACCCCTAGTCAAAATCATGTAGGGCCATCCCTATTGGATAACCTCTGGCCTAAAACATATAGGGCCACCCCTACCCTATCCAAACTTTTCATACACATCACATCACCAAATAGCCCCACCCATCATCTAAAACATGTAGTCACCCCCCCCCCCCGTTTTGTTCTAAAGCAAGTAAACTTTCCCTAGTCTGTAGGGTCACCCCCTATCCTTACATAACCACAACAGAACATGTTAACTCCTCACTTCTATACATGCCCTATATGAACGCATTCTTGATAAACATTGAGGGTCACAATCTGTAAGAATAACTTGGCCTAGTAAGAGACAGGTCACGTGGTAAGTTAGTGCAATATATAATACTCGTGCACGCCCCATAACATAGCATTACACAACAGACTTTAGAAGTATTAGCTTATTGCGGTAGAAATGGCTCTTTCAGGTAATTTTTTTTCGAATATATGCCTCGCGTAGTATAATCTTTACTGTAATAAAATGCACTTGTCTATCTTTTGTATAGTTGATATATACATTGTAATTAACTTATTTCTTAGCGTTTCCTCTAAAAAAACACTAACAAGTTTGTGCATATACATTGTCTCTCTCACTCTACTTCTCTCTCAATCTCTATCTCTGTATATATCAGTATCTGGGCAATTTTTACTTTCTCGTATAGAGAAAGTCTTGTAATCGTGCAAAAATAAATCGAGATTTTTACAAATCTCGACGTTTTACACCTCACTGATAAGGAAAAACATAATTTTGCAATCTTGTCCGTATGTCTGTGTGTCTGTCTGTCTGTTGTTAAACACGATAACTTGAGTATCGTTACAGCTAGGTTGATGAAATTTCATATATAAGTATTTTATCAAAATCGTAGATCCTGATCAACTTTTGAGCGAATTCCGATAACTGGAAGTGGTACTTTTTCTACTTTGAATTTTTCAAAAGCCTATAACTTGAGTACTATTTCAGATAGATAAATGAAATTTCACATGTAAGTAAAAGATCTAATTTTCTACTTTCTCTAAGATTTTGAGTAATTTCCGTTGACCAGAAGTACTAATTTACGCTATTTTTGATTTCTCAAAAAACGCATGTAAATTTATAAAGTACTAATAATATTGCGCACTATTATGCACATTTTGTTTTGGCATTCGCTTGGTGCGCAATTTTTTTCTCTATGAGATTCTATTCTATTTTAAAAAGTTTAAGTAATTAAAAATCATGTCTATATTTCAAGTTATATAAGAATATTCGAGAAAGTATAGGGGAGATCACTCCCAGTTTATTTTTATTATGAGCGTTCATTTAGTTACAAAGCAAGTAAGCTTTTCCTGGTCTAAAACATGTACAGCCACCCCTACTGTAGACCCCTCCCTGCCTCTCTGTTCTAAAGCATGTAAGATACCCCTGGTCTGAATCATGTAAGGCCACCCCTAATGTAGCCCCCCCCCCCACCGCTCTCTGTTCTAAAGCATGTAAGATAACCCTGGTCTGAAACATGTAGGGCCACCCCTACTGAAGCCCCCCCCCCCCCCCCCACACTCGTTGTTCTAAAGCGTGTGACCTACTCCCGGTCTAAATCGTGTAGGGCTACCCCTACTGCAGCCCCTGGTCTGAAACATGTAGGCTCACACCTACCCTATCCAAACTACAACGAAACATGTTAGCTCCTAACTTCCCCACATGTCCTAAATAAACGCTTGCTTGTTAAAGCTTGAGGGTCACAATCTGTAAGAATAACTTGGCCTAGTTGAGGACAGGTCACGTGGCAAGTTAGTGCTAAATCTAGTACTCGTGCAGGCCCATAACATAGCATTACACAACCAACTTCAGAAGTATTTGTTTATTGTGGTAGAAATGACGCTTTCATGTAAGTTTTTTTTCGAATATATGCCTCGCGTAGTATAATCTTTACTGTAATAAAATGCATATGTCTATCTTTTGTACAGTTGATATATACATTCTTGACTGCATTATTGTAATTAAATTATTTCTTAACGTTTCCTCTAAATAACACTAAAATTTTGTGCATATACATTGTCTCTCTTTTCCCCTCTCTCTCTCTTTTTCTCTCTGCCTCTTTATTTCTGAATATATATCAGTATCTGGGCAATTTGTATTATTTAGCTCACAAAGTCTGTTTGTGGGATGAGGCAAATCTTTTAACTTTATTTTGTCCCATTTCTAATATAGTGGTTTCCTTCATTCTGTCCAGATACATTTGTCTCCGGTGACAATGCAAAAATGTTCATTATTTAATTTAATTTAACATTAGATTAGTAATTAAAACTTAATTTAATTAATAACTTACTAAATTTCGCTTATAAAATGGGAGATAACAAGATTAAATTAGTAGCGATCGCTCTATCAGTTAGCCGTAGACGGTGAACTGTTTTTTCATGGCTGAACTATTTTTTACTTGAGAGTTAACCACGGACAAAGATGAGCTGATAATATTTTTTTTAGAGATTGCATGATACTTGTCGAGTTTTGACGCACGTATTTTTAGTCGTAGCTTATGTAGTGTCTACTTCATTTCGAACGAATGACTAAATAATTGCATAAAAAAACGGTTTAATTAAAGGTTTTTATGTAATAATGCATTAAATAGGAGAAAATAAATGATTTTCTTTGAGTATTGTAATATACTTAATTAGGTAAATCATTTTTTTTCTCCTTTTAGTGCATTTTACATAAAAGCTTGTAATTAAAAAAAATTAAAGATTTTTTTTCAGTACTCTAAATTTGTTAATACAATAGAATTGCAAGACTAAAACTGTTGCACACCAAATGAACATAATAATGCGCGTGCAAGGGTGCGGAAAGAGTAGCACGAATCTGCTTACTAATTTCAGAAAATTTTAATTAATTCATAAAAATTTAATTAGGCATCCAATTAGGTCAAATGTGATGTCATATGGTATTGTCTTCAAGTCTTGACCTAAGAGCCAACTTTGAAACGAATCTGTCAGTAAAAAGTGCCTGAAATTTTGCTTGTTCGTTTCGACAAAAGAAACTTGCTATTTATATTACAAGCCTAGGTTGATAAACATCTAAGAGTGAGATCAGAAGAATTACAAATGCTTTTTATAAAGATAGCAAGTTTGTTTTACTTTCTTATTTTCAGAGTATTTAAAAGTTTGTTGATATAAAAGTTTTTATATTTGTTTTATTTGTCTTATTAAAATATTACACACCATACTCGATATACATCAAAGTAAAAAGGCTTTTGATTATCTCTGTTTTTCTTTTAGCGAATAGCATGCCATTTAGAATAGTTTTTTGGTTATTAAGTAAAGACTGGCTTGCGTATTGTATTTTGCAACACGAATGGCTTTAGAACTGTTATCAATCAAGACCCAAAACTAATTTGTTATAAGCATGATATTTTAACACTGTTCTTGCAATACTTGATCGTGTGGTGTAGGGATACTTGTATGATATGAAAAATAGTGCTCTATAAAAATGTTATAATACGAGAATTCTTAATTAAAGAAAAAACCAACTTTCTTTTCAGCTACCGAGGTTCTAGATTCTTTCGTTCCCGGAACTACGGTCTGGATTTTACTCGCTCTCTGTCTGTTGGCATCATGGTACTGGTACAGCCACAACTCTGGTACTTCACTTCCTCTTCCACCAACTCCAGGCGTGGCCCTGCCTCTTGTGGGTCATCTGTATCTGTTAGAGAAGAACCCTCGACGTCAGTTCAAAAGATGGGCCGACTCGCTGGGATCTATTTTTAGGCTGAGGCTTGGCTCTGACACAGTGATGGTTTTAAATAATTATGACGTCATCAAGGAGGCTTTGGTCAAACAGGGGAAAATTTTCTCTGACAGAAAACCCGGGGCCTTTCTGGTCAAATATTCTCAACACCATGACAAAGGAGTTGTACTTTCCTCAGGGGAGAACTGGAGAGAGCAAAGATCGACTTCTCTCACAATTCTAAGGGACTTTGGCATGGGGAAAAATATTCTGGCCGAGAAAATTTCGGAGGAGGTTGAAATATATGTCAAAGAACTAGCCTCAACCAACGGGAAACCAGTTGATTTAAAAACAATAACGAACATTAGTGTCTCTAATATAATTTGTTCTGTTATTTTCGGCAAAAGGTTTGAGTTTTCGGATCCTAAATTTGTACGCATGATGTCCATTTTCAATGATGTTGTGCGTAATGCATCCGGTACGCAGATACTGAACTTTTTTCCTGTTTTAAAGTACTTCCCTTTTGATTTATTTGGGGCTAATAAACTATTAAGAATTATTTCTGAAGTTCGACTGTTTGTTCGAAATATTGTCAATGAAATCAGGCAGACGTGTGACAGTGACAATGTAGACAGTTTCGTTGTGGCTTACCTTAACGAAAAGAAGAAAAAGGAAGAAGCAGGACAACAGACGTATTTAGATGACGTTAACCTTGTGAGGAACATCGATAACTTATTTCTTGCAGGTACGGAGACGACCAGCACTACCATCTTATGGAGTTTGGTTTTTGTCTTACAGAATCCAGAAACGCAACAGAAAATTTACCAGCAAATTAAGGACCACGTTGGAACTGAACGCGTGCCAAACATGTCTGATCACGCTAGCCTAACTTATCTGAATGCTTTCATCATGGAGACACAGAGAATGGCAAGTCTGGTTCCATTTAGTGTTCCACATTTGTGTAACCAAGACACAGTTCTCGCTGGTTTCCGAATTCCTAAAGGCTCGGTAATTTTTCCTAACTTAGATTCCGTTCTAAAAGATGAAAAAATCTGGGGTGATCCGGAAAATTTCCGACCTGAGAGATTTCTGGACGAGCAAGGAAATTTGATAAAGAGAGAAGAGCTCATACCTTTTTCTATCGGTCGCAGAATTTGTCTTGGGGAATCCCTGGCTAAGATGGAACTTTTCTTGTTCCTGTCGTCCATGTTTCAGAGGTTCGAGTTCCTGCCTGCTGATGGAGTATCGGCTCCTGAAGTCCATGAAGTGTTTGGTGGTGCCGTATCGCCATCTCTATATGAAGTGAGGTGCATCGACCGTAGAATTTAAATATAACAACTTCTATCAATGATTTGACAGAAGAAATTAGATTTCTTGTTAATCCTTTTCATACATGTACAGCGCTTGAGTGATATTTTAATTAATTTGCTAAAACAACTAATTATAGATTTTCTTTAAATGCCACGTGTTACAGACTTTAATGATTTTATCTCTCTTTTGTATTTAAGTAATTACTCGTTTTAGATTTATTTTAAATGTATAAAAACTTTACCATTATATAATTCATATTACTTTCAACCATGTAGGTCTATATATTATAATTTGAATATACAAGTTTAGTTTCTTCAGCTTAAAATCAATATATCTATATTTATTTTTTTATTTTTATGTATTAGACAGTTTAAAATAAATATTTTTTCTTTTATCAAAAATTACCTTTGTTTAAATACATAGAGGTTTTATATTTTTTTATCCATTTTTTATATTTGTACAAGTGTTTAAACCATTAAACAAAGATAAAATATTCACATTTCTAAATGTTTCACTTTAAATTTTGAAAACACTACTTGTATAAATGCATTACACGTGATAATTTTTTTAAGTTTGCAAACTACTGTAAACACAGACCTTAACTGCCATTTGTAAATGTTACGGATTTTAACATACAGAGGTCGAGGACGCACTAAATGTAGGGCGTGTTTTTGTTACAGAAAATAACATTGGTCCATAGTGACTGGGAATATTAGTAATAAGGTCTTAGTACGGAACAGCTAAAATAATTTCCAATATGACTTTATCTTTTTCAAGAAACATATATGGATATAGGCGACATATATTTTCCTATGATATCATTCTGATTAAATTTTGGAAATACAACATAAAACCTCTTTCAGTTCCACACCAGAGTACGTGTTCATTGAATGAAAATGTCTACTTAAACAAGCCCACGTAACTTTTTATAAATTATTGAAATACACGTATGCGCATGATTGTTGCGCATCTCGTATCAATAGCGACGTGTAGCTACAAGGAGTGTAGACAGGTAAAAACGATTGTGTTGACCCTATCGTCACAAAATGTCACATAATGTAAGACACTCACACTAAAATGACGTTATACTCAAGTCTCACACCATTACAGTATTGGAATTTGGATTTTATTTTCTGAAATACTAATAAAGTTTAACAAGGCTAGGATACATTTTTATTACATTTGACAAAAACGTGTCTTTGAAAATAGTTAATGAATTTACAAAAACGTCTACAGTTTTAAAAATTGAAATTGCAGAAATGTAAACTGAAAACGCATTTAAAAAAACCTTGACGCCCTTCTCAGTTTATCTTGGGGAATCCCTGGCTTAGATGGAACTTTTCTTGTTCCTGTCTTCCATGTTTCAAAGGTTCGAGTTCCTGCCTGCTTATGAAATGTTTTGTGGTGTCGTATCGCCGTCTCTTTATGAAGTGAGATGCATTGACAGAAGACAATAGAGATTATAATATTTATAATAGATTCAGAATAACAATCTGTGAGTTAGAACATAATTTTATGGAATGTACTTAATTATGCTCAATTCGTATTATATATATATATATATATATATATTTATATATATATATATATATATATATATATATATATATATATATATATATATATATATATATATATATATATATATATATATATACATAATGTTCGTTTTTAATTCTTTCAAAACAGATAATTAAGATAATCCTGAAATGTCTAAGAAAAATGCAATACAGTTTTAACCCTCTAATGTCTTTGTCGTGTTTACTATAGCGTAAAGGGCCACGTTTGTAACACACACAAAAATTATATGCGCATGCGCCAATGCTGACTATCCTGGAGAGAAGCTTAAACCATACATTGATCTGGTATTTCTTTTTTAACATTAAGATAAAAACATAAAAATACACACGTGCACACGTACACATACACACATACATATAAACACTACACCAACAAATTACATCCATCCACAAACGCCCCCGACTGCAAAAATCCAAGGAATATTTTGCTGACATAGTTAACATTTAAGGAGTTAGGCGTTGTAAAAAAAAACAACGGAAAAATAACTTCTTAATTAATAGTCCCTTTTTATTTATTTGTAGGTATCTAAGTTAGGTTACTGAAAGGAAAATACACGTACCAGTGACTCTTCTTAACATAAGGTTGCGATGATAACGGCGGCCATCTTGAAAAATCAACTATTATCTTATAATTATTGATAGTGTTTTACTGAATTTAATGGAGTTACCTGCCCTTTTTGTTACAAAAATAAACCACACTAAAAACGATTTAAATTTTAAAAATCATTTATGGTAAAATACCGGTAAATTTAGCAGTACTTTTACTTAGATTTTAACGTTACTTCTCACAGAAGTAGGGTTTAGGTCTTGCCAAGTGACAGGATGTCGTTTAATGAAAGTATTATTTTAAGTTGAATATCCATATTGAATTTAATTAATTTCTTCTTAGACAACATCTTTGTGCGACGGATCAGTTCGTAGCCTTACATTAATTAAACCCTGTTGTAGGGCTACCCCTACTGTAGCCCCACCCACCCCTACCTCCATGTTCAAAAGCAAGTAATCTACCCATGGTCAAAATCATTAAGGGCCACCCCTTCTGGGTAGCCCCAGGCCTGAAACATGTAGGGCCACCCCTACCCTATCCCAACCAAAACACAACATGTCATCTACAAGTTACCTACATGCACTAGATCAGGGGTCTCCAAACTTTTCAGCCCGAGGGCCGCATTAGCTATCAAATATAAGTTCGGGGGCCAGTTTCTTCCAGGCATCTCTTCAGCATCTCTTCGGGGTGTCAGAGCCACACCCCCCCCCCTTCCCTCGAAGAACATCTCTTAAAGGAACTGTGATGCAAACTTGTAATATTAGGAAAGTCTCCCTTAGGCAAATACTTATAAAACCCACCCGCCCTTATTTGAACTTGTCTCTAAGGAGGTCATTTGCTGGATAACTGGCCACATTTACTTCAATGGTAATTGCACCCAATGCTACATTTTCAATTTGTTTTGAATGTTTCCTCAAACAATTTTTTTTGTGTGGACAAAACGATCTGCGCGGGCCGGATGAGAAGACCTCGCGGGCCGCATCCGGCCCGCGGGCCGTAGTTTGGAGACCCCTGCACTAGATAAAAGCATGCATGTTAAAGCTTGAGGGTAACAATCTGTAACAAGTACTTGGCCTAGTAGACAACAGGTCACGTGGCAAGTTAGTGCTATATCCATTAATCGTGCAGGCCCCATAACATAGCATTACACAACAGGCTCCAGAAGCATTTGTTTATTGTGGTAGAAATGATGCTTTCAGGTTAGTTTTTTTTCCAAATATTCATCGCCGTAGAATAATCTTTATTGTAATAAAATATATGTCTAGCTATTGTAGCCTACATTCTTGGCTGCATTATTGTAACTAAATTATTTCTTAGCGTTTCCACTAAAATGACACAAACATGTTTATGCAAATACATTATCTCTCAGTCCCTCTCTCTTTCCCTCTCTCTCTTTCTCTCTCTCTCCCTCTCTATCTCTGTATATATTAGTATCTGGGCATTTTTTAAATGAAATATGTTCAGTTAGTTCACTATGTCTGTTCTCTCTGTTTGTGGGATGAGGCGAATCTTTTAAATTTAAAATGATTTTTTCCCTCCCATTTCTAATATAGTGTTTCCTTCTTTCTTTAGAGATACATTTGTCTCTAGTGACAATGTAAAAATATCCATTATTAAATCTAATTTAACATCAGACTAGTAATTAAAATTTAATTAAATTAATAACTTGCTAAATTTCGTTTATAAATTGATTAGGAGATATCAAGATTAAATTAATAGCGATCGCTATATTTTTTTTTTCATGGCTGAAATATTTTTGCTTGAGCATCAACCACGGACAAAGATGATTAGATAATTATTTTTTAGAGATTGCATGATACTGGTCGAGTTTTAACGCAAATATTTTTAGCCTTAGTCTATGTAGTTTCTACCTTATTTCGAGCGAATGACTAAAAAAAAATTCATAAAAACGTTTTAGTTACAAGTTTTTATGTAATAATGCACTAAAACGGAGAAAATAAATGTTTTTCTTTGAGTATTATAATATACTTATAATCATTTATTTTCTCATTTTAGTGCATCTATTTTTTTTTCTCTTTTTTTTTTTTTTTTTTTTTTTGCCTCAGACATTTAATTTACAGCGTCATTTGTGTTTTCGCTTTAGTATTACAGTTTTCATCATCGGCTTGTGAGGACTTATACAGATTTACAATAGTAATATTTCTTTCTTACTTGTAGCCTACTTTCATTCATTTAAGATGGTTTACTTATACATTTATCTAATACAAAACGTCTAAATATAAAAAATAAATTAAAAATAAATAAAAAACAACAAGAAAATGCAAATGTGTATGCACTAAAATGAAAAGCGATTTTCATTTTAGTGCATCTAATATATAAAGTTCAATTCTGTATGTAACATGTTTGTAAAGTGTAATAGGTTTGTCGTGGATACTTGGATGGATTTAAGTGTTAGATTATTATAGTGCTCATGGTCTAAATTTATGAGTTAAAAATTACTATTGAAAGTCTTTAAAAATAATTTTCATTTTATACACTTAGAATAATAATTTTCAATTATGAACATTACATAAAATTTTAAAATGTGTATCAACGTTTATAAAATTTCTAAAATTGTGTCTGAAATGTATTGACTGCACAGTTACTTCCCTTTAACCCCCCCCCCCCAAAACAAATTACATAATTATCGGGGATTGATTAAGTGCAACTGCCTTTTATTTATTCTATACACTTAACATACTGTTCACTAATTATTTTTTTAAATCAATAACATTTAATAAGCCAGGTCCTACAAATCCTATATGTTTACTTCTTTGCAGTTACGGATAAGCTTGGGGTATTATAATTTTGCTCACTAAATTGAAACAGGCGCGTCCCCCGGCGCCACTGCACGGTTCGATTTGGCGCCCTGGGCTATCATGTGAGCTCTATGCTGCATAATTTTGTTTTAAACAGTGCGATAGACTATGGATAAGAAAGGTTACTATAGTCTTTAAGTTTGAATTAAATCCGGGCGTCCTCCGGCACCCCGGCAGGGTGCTATTTGGCGCCCCTGGCCTTCCAGTGTACGCTATGGTACCTACGTTCGCGTAAGTGAGTTCAAAAGACTAGGAATAAGTTAGGTACTATAGTCGTTTACTAAGTTGAATGAGGCGGTTACGCCGCACGTCGTCATGGTGTGATTTGGCGCCACGGGCTAGACTGTGGACACTTTGAGTTTATCTTTGCGTTTGTGTTTTCTTTGTGTTTGAGTTTGGGTTTGCGTTTGTGGTTGTGTTTGCCTTTGGATTTGGGTTTGGGTTTGTTTTCGTTTGCTTTATTTCTTTGCGTTTGTGTTTTCGTTTGCTTTTTTTCTTTGCGTTTGTGTTTTCTTTTTGTTTGTGATTCTGATTGTGTTT